CTAAGCTTTACGTTGGGCCTTATCGAGGGCCTTTTCGTTGGGCGCCATATATGTTACGCTCGGCGAGTATTTGTTAATAATAAAAATTGTTGGCTTTTACATTTTTTTAACCGAAATGGACAATAGTGGTTAAGTGGCATGAAGATGATGTTCCCTGCTAGCTATTTGGTAGAAGTAACTCTTAACCCATATCCCGAAAGCGTAAGCATATAACATACTCATGTCATGCCTTAAAAATACCACAGAGTATGCAAAAATCTTGAATAAGTCTAAATACTTAGCAAAAGAATAACAAATATTTGAAAAGAACAAACTGAACCATGACGAGATGAGATGTCATGTAGGGTACAATTCTCCCACCCAATTTGTAAACACCTTGACAGAAAGATTACCCTTAATTTTAATTCTGTCCCTAATAAAACATGACTTTTACTTACATATTTTTACAATTTGTTTTGGCTATCCTTCCCATTTAAAAAAGAAAATGTTAATGATGATTCATTTTACGCAATTCAACATATTTAATTTATTGAAAAAAAAGTAAAGTAAAGCAAAAAAAATATATATAATAATGATATTCTACGCAACCATAAATATGTATGAAAGAATGTAAAATCATTACTCAAAGAGAAAATGATCAGAAGTAATAAAGAAATGGAAAGAAATTAAAATTACTAATCAATACGCATGGGGACAAAGTTGAAACGGACCGACGGACAGATAAAATATAATAAGTAATTGATACTCTTAAATAATAATTCTTTTACTTGTTACTCACAAAATCATTTAGTAATGATGTTCCAATTCATGTTGTCTCTTTGATGTTGGGCCCAGCAATCAGGAGTACACGATGAAGTTGTTGTTGTTATTAATATTTAAAAATACATTACAATGATTTTGAGATTATGAATGAAAAATAAACATGAATTAAAATAATTAAAGTGACAAAAAAAATAGAGTACGATAAAAATAAGCAAAAGATATTTTAATACACTAATGAAAAAATGTTAGTAGATTCCATTTAACACTTTTTTCCATGGTATCAAAGTATGAAAATTAAAATTAAATATTTACATTTATGCTTTTGAATTTAGATTAATAGGAAATATAATTTAGATTAACGCTTTAATACGGTTAAATTAATTTATAATTTGGTTTCTAAATTCAAGTATAATAATTATAATCTATAATTTTACATTCGATTTAAATTTAGTTTAATTGATAAATTTTAACAAGAGTTTTTAGAAAAAAAATACTTATAATATAAATTGGATATAAATGTTAAGAATTACTATAAGTTCAAGAAATTTGCAACAATGTTTAATTTAAAGACATTATGTTAATTTTAAGTAGTTTTAATAGATTTTAAGAAGAGTTTTAGTAATTTTTATATAAATTTAGATGCAATTTAGATTAGGTTTTTAGAAATATTTGAATGTGCAATATAATTAGTAAGTGTTTTAATAACTTTTAACAAATTTGAAGAGCAGTATAGATTTAAGGTATTTTAATGTACATATTTAGGCCAATTTAGATTTTTAGGAACTTTTTCTGTTTTTAGGAAATTTCTAGGTGTAATAATTGTTAATGTAATTCAATTAAATTTTCTAGACAATTTAAGATTAATTTTTTTGGATTAACAATGTGATTTTCTTTGCAAATTGAAGTTAAATATTCAATTCTAGGAATTTAGGTTAAGTTTTTCCTTTTATGATAAATTTATGAGTAATTTTGGACTATTCAGCATGTGATTTCCATTAATAGTAATATTTAGTATTTAATAAATTGAAGGCATTGGTTTTCTCCCGGAATTGTGTAGTTCCTGACTTAATGTTGGTTAATATTATTGGCCACGTGGATCATGAGGTATCAATATGATGTTAAGGAGTAAACTCTGTCACTGTGATACCAATAGTCAAAATATTATTTACTTGGAGGTTTAATATGTTGCTATTAGGAATTGTATGGAATTTCACCTTAGTTAGGTGGACTCACACGTGGTCCTTTTGTGATATGTATTTGGATTTTGGAGGAAAATCTCCAATTTATGAAATTTGGTATAAATTTGTCTTTTGAGATCGGGATATATGTGGATATAGATTAAATTATTATAAAATATTATATAATTGTCAAAACTCCACATGGAAAAATTTTTAACTTTGTCACACTTTAATCATTATAGATTTTAAAAACACGTCTTACTATATCAACTTTTAATTCGAGAATAAATCGAATGTTACCAAGTAAGATGATCATAAGTAAAGTGCGTAATTAAAGAATTTAATAAGTGCGCAATTAATTTCCAATGAGACATTAATGATAAAAAAAAATGCAATTGGATTTACGTTTGTGGAAAAAAGACAAAAGTATTTCTGCAAAAAAAATGAGATTGATATTCAGTAATGTGTATGATTTGATACATAATCTTACGCACATATGTATATAAAAAGCGTGAGAACTAAAATAAGATGTAAAAGAAAAATAAAATATCTAGCATGCGAGTTACATGGGGAAGTATACCAATCCATAGTGTTTGAAAATGTTTATATTTATTTGGAGTTAAATTTGTAAAAATGTTTTGATAATTATTGTTGAACAAAAATCGTAACAGTGGTCTAGTCTAAATATAAGACTATTTACTAGTCTACAGACTAGTCAATGAACTTATTAAGACATGTCTACTAGGGATGCCAATCCCGAAATCCCGATCCCGAAAATCCCGGGATTTTTCGGGATTGGCAAATCCCGAATCCCGGGATTTGGAAAATAAATCCCGGGATTTTTTCGGGATTAGGATTTGTTTCAAAAAACTGTTTTTATTTTCTTTTTTTGAGCCATAATTTTCATTAATTTGAAAATTACGATCTTATTTTATTTTTGACTCATGCAAAACAAAATTCCGCAGAGCTAATTTTATACATATTTGAACCTTTTATTTTTTAAAGTGGTATGAGTCCATACACATAGCACATATAAATTTATTTATTCACTTCGTTTTTATACCTTACACCACTTTAGTGGGGAGGGTATATTGGGTTTGTGCTGATGTTTGTTACACACAATAATATTGGTCCTATACCTTAAAGTATACCAATCGGCTCAGAATCATTTTCTGAGTCGATTTAGCTATGTCCGTCCGTCTGTCCGTCCGTCCGTGTAAACCTTGTAATCAAACTACAGCAATTTTGAAGATAATTCAATGAAATTTTGCATGATCTTCTATTGTACTAGAGACGGATCCTATTGAAAATGGATAACATCGGTCCAATATTTGACCTAGCCCCCATACAACTGAACCCCCCAAATAGGGTTTTTAAGTTCATAATTATGTTCAATATACTCGTAACTCGACAAAAAGCTGCAAAACCAAGTTCTATACTAGCCTTCATGACCCTGATGTATTTTTTGATGATGCGGCCTCATTTGACCCTAGCCCCTATGCAAAGCCTCCTTCGAAATATGACTTAAATGTACACAATTTTATTCAACAAAAATAGCTAAATTATATCTGAGGCAAGGTACAATTCAACTTATATGCTTTATTATGAACAATAAATCACATTTTATTTTTATAACTGGTGTAGGGTATGGTAGGCTTCGCCCAACTATAACTTTTTACTTGTTAGCACATTGCAATGTTGGTCGTAGACCGACCCAAAAAGTATACACATTCTGTGTCTGTAAGCTGAAAACACGAGTTAGAAGACTCATTCTATTTGGGCTGCAAATTTGGAACAAAATTGACACAAAAAAACCTAATTGGACCTCCTCTGAAAATCACATTGATGCTGATATTAATATCAATACATTACAATATTTTGATGGTGGGTATTTAATTTCGGCACAGTCGAATACAAACTTTATTTTTCAATACTAGAGGATTTTACATTTCTAACTTTCTACAAATCTGAATGATACCGGTAAAGGTAAATTACCTTGTTCTGAATGCACCTAAAATTTTAAATTAATACTACGAATATAATAATATGTTCCAAAACTAATATGTATTTTGAGTAAAATTCCAAATATTTTTCAAAGAATAGGTTCTAAATTGATGTTCGATTAATTGAATTGGTATCTGTTATAATTATTAGTTCACATGGAACAGTATGAGGTTTTAAAAAGTGCTTATGTCAAATTTCGGAACTTGATATTTATTTTTATTTAGGAAGTAAGTATGTATTTAAAAAGTTTCAGAAATTATTCAATTCTGAAAGTTTTTATTTAAAAATTGGAATTAATTGGATTGTTTTAATTTAAATATATCTTCTGTCTGTTAAATTTCCACAAAATTAAACAATTTTCTTTACAAATATGATGATTTAAAGATTTTCATATATAAAATAATTAAATTCATGTAATCCCGAAATCCCGTAAAATCCCGAAATACCGAAAAATCCCGGGATCCCGAAAAATCCCGGGATCCCGAAATATCCCGGGATTGCAATTTTCAAAATCCCGAATCCCGGGATTTGTAAAAGCCAGTCCCGTTTGGCATCCCTATTGTCTACTGACTAGTCTATAAATTATTCTGCTGACTAGTGGATAGACTAGACTATCGACTAATCAACTATATAGTCTTGTCCATCGACTAGTCTACTGAATATTCTATGGACCAATCAATTGACTAGTCTGTGGTTTAGCCTTTGAACTATTCTATTAACTACTTTATGTACTAATTTGTTGATTAGTCTATGGACTAGTCTACTGACTAATCCATGAACTACTCTATAGACTGGTCATTAACTAGTCTATTGACTAATCGATGAACTAATCCATTAACTGCACTATAGACTGGTCTATAAACAAGTCAGTTGACTAGTCTATTGAATAATCAATGCACTAGTCTATTGACTAATATAGTATATAGACTGGTTTTTTGATTAGTCTGCGTATATTTCATTGTCAATTTCCCATACCTGTTGTGGGGGTAAAATGAATTATGTTGATAAGAAAAAGTACTTTATAAACATAAACAAAACGCTACGCAATAATCCAACCCTGTTATTTGTTAAGAAAAAAAAGCCGAAGTTTCTTGCATTGTTCATGCAATTTCGTTGTTTATTAACAAATTGTATTTTAAACAAGTTGGTGGTCAATTAGTTATAAAATAAAATAATTATTAATAAAAAGTAAATAAATTTATTGTGTATAATATATAGCCGATAGAAAAACAACAAAGAAATAAGAAAGACTAATTAAATTGGTAAGTGGTTGTGGTTCCATCTCCTGCTATTGGTTATTTTATTGAAAAAGTAAAGTTTTTAAAAAGAAATTTTATATTGCGTCATATATTTATAGAATAAAGGAACTCATTTAAAATAAACATAAAGATTTAAAAAAAAAATGACAAGGCAATTATTGTTGAAGCGGTATTTGATTTCTGTTAGATTGTTTAGACTAGATGAGTATTTACGGTTGCGTTTGCATAAACCTTTTGTTTATTTAATTGCGTTTTAGTAAAAGTGTTTTGTTTTCGGTTTATGTTATAGAAAAATTTATTATTTTAATTATTTATTAAAATTATTTATTTTTCTTTATTAACTGTACCTTGCTTTTGTTTTTTTTCTATTGACTAGTTGCTTCTTTTTTCTTAGAATCCCGTTAGAAAATACACAAGAGTTGCCAGGAAATTGTCAAAAAATGTACAGTACAGGATAAAATTAACTAGCCACGTATTATAGAAAATTTAGAATGTTATAGGCTTATCAGCAAAAGGGGGCGTATACGTGTGTTTGTAATTTTTTATCACAATTTGGATCTTTTAACTCATCTAGGTTTTTTTTTATAATAGTTTCTCAATTTTACCTGGAAATTTTAATGAAAATTGGAGAAATTCATTGTATTTTTGTTTAGATTTAAATTGGTTTTTAAAATTACTGTTTTTTTCAGTTGGAAGATTTTGTTTTGTTTAAACTAGAACTGAATTAGAACTGAAGTAGAACCGAATTAGAACTAAACTAGAACTGAACTTAAACTGAAACAGAAGTGAAGTAGAAATGAACTAGAACTGAAACAGAAGTGAAGTAGAAATAAACTAGAACTAAAACAGAAGAGAAGTAGAAATAAACTAGAAACTAAACTAGAATTGATATAGAACTGAACTAGAACCGAACTATATCTGACCAAGAACTAGAAAAGAACTAGAACTGAGTTAGAATAGAACTAGAACTGAAACAGAACTAAACTATAATTTAACTAGATCTTAATTAGAACTGAAATAGAACTGAATTATAATTGAACAAGAACTGAACTAGAACTAATCAAGAACTGAACTAGTACTGAACTAGAACTGAACTAGAACTGAACTAGAACTGAACTAGAACTGAACTAGAACTGAACTAGAACTGAACTAGAACTGAACTAGAACTGAACTAGAACTGAACTAGAACTGAACTAGAACTGAACTAGAACTGAACTAGAACTGAACTAGAACTGAACTAGAACTGAACTAGAACTGAACAAGAACTGAACTAGAATTGAACTAGAACAGAACTATAATTGAATTAGAACTGAACTAGAACTGAACTAGAACTGAACTAGAACTGAACTAGAACTGAACTAGAACTGAACTAGAACTGAACTAGAACTGAACTAGAACTGAACTAGAACTGAACTAGAACTGAACTAGAACTGAACTAGAACTGAACTAGAACTGAACTAGAACTGAACTAGAACTGAACTAGAACTGAACTAGAACTGAACTAGAACTGAACTAGAACTGAACTAGAACTGAACTAGAACTGAACTAGAACTGAACTAGAACTGAACTAGAACTGAACAAGAACTGAACTAGAATTGAACTAGAACAGAACTATAATTGAATTAGAACTGAACTAGAACTGAATGAGAACTTAACTAGAACTGAACTAGAACAAAACTAGAACTGAACTAGAACTGAACTAGAACTGAACTAGAACTGAACTAGAACTGAACTAGAACTGAACTAGAACTGAACTAGAACTGAACTAGAACTGAACTAGAACTGAACTAGAACTGAACTAGAACAGAATGAGAACTTAACCAGAACTGAACTAGAACTGAAATAGAACTGAAATAGAACTGAAATAGAACTGAAATAGAACTGAACTAGAACTGAACTAGAACAGAACTAGAACTGAATGAGAACTTAACTAGAACTGAATTAGAACTGAACCAGTACTGAAGTAGAATTGAAATAGAACTGAATGAGAACTGAACTAGAACTGAACCAGTACTGAAGTAGAACTGAACTAGAACTGAATGAGAACTGAACTAGAATTGAACTAGAACTGAACTAGAATTGAACTAGATCTGAACTAAAACTAAAACAGAAATAGAACTTCACAGAACTGAAATATGTAGAACTTCACTAGACTAGAACTGAACTAGAACTAAACCTGAGCAGAAGAATTGAACTAGAACTGAATTAGAACTGAACTAGAGCTGATCTAGAACTGAATTAGAAATGAAGTAGAACATCACTGCAACTGAACTAGAGCAGATGTAGAACTGAATTAGATGTGAAGTGTAACATCACCACAACTGAACTAGAACTTAACTGTTACTGAAGAAGAACAGGAACTGAACTCCAGTAGAACTAGAACTGAACAAGAATTGAAAAAGAACTGAACTGGAAATAAACTACTAAATGAACAAGAACGGAGGCAGAACTGAACTAGATCTATAAAAGTGTGTGTTCTTTTTGTTTTAATATGTGTAAAGAAAAGAGACGATAAAATCGACTTTAGCCGATAATAAAGATAACAACAAATAAAATAACATAATACAAAAGAAAGGGGGACTTTGCAAATTTTATTTTAAACAAACCAGTTTTTTTGTTTTTAATAAGTTTCGTCTATCAATTGTAAACAAATAACAAATACTTTCCCTTTATCTCAAGTTAAACAAAATTAATTATATTTAGTTTGTCTTCCCCTTGTTTCTATTAAAAAGTGATTTATAGATAAAAATGTATTGAAAACTCCCTTTAAAACAATATTTCTTAGGCCTAATAACTTTTTTTAAAACTTTTGGTGTTGTTTACATTTTTTTAAATATTTTATTTTAAACAAATTCCCAGTTTATTTTTAATTAAAATTCCAAACCTGTTTTTTGCAAACAGCTTTTGTTAAAACGTTTCAATGTTAAAAAAGAGTAACATTTTGTAAAGTACAAATTAAAAGCTTTACTCTAACTTTTGTATTAAAATAGATATTTATTTATTATTTAGTTAACTAGTGTGAAATTAAAAAAGCTCTCGTAAAAACAAACTTTAACTTAATTGCTATAGAATTTACGTTAAACACTCAGCTGACAGCTAAGTGTTCTATTGAATGACTTCAATATGATTGAATGAATGTTAAAAAAGTTATTTTTTAGTTTCTATAAATAATTGGTAACAAAGCAATTAAAAAAAGATACAAAATTGTTTTTTTTTAGGAAACTAAAAGCTTTTAGTTTAAAAATTTCATCATTTTATTAAATTTACTGTTTTATTTTTCTTTTAGCATTTAAAAAAACCTCACCTCTTAACATCTACATTACCCTGAGGTATTCTCAACTTTAACAGCAACCAAAATGCGTACAGTATTAGCCTTATTATTGGCTTTTGTAGCCTTAGCTCAGGCTGTTTCTTTGACAGATCTTTCCAAAGAAGAATGGCATACCTATAAGGTAAGTTAAAATTGATTTAAAGACACGCAAAATGAAACATGCCTAGTACAACGAGGGGGTTTTTTTAAACAATTCATTTAGTTTAAGTTGTTGTTATTGTTTGTTGTTTAAACAAAACATTTGCTTTAGTTATTAAAAAAAATGCAATTCTACAAAAACATTCTTTGTTTAGGGGCAATAAACAAACAAAAACATAGTTATTAGTCATTTTATTAATGGCTTATCATTCACTTTAAAATTACTTTATAATTATTTGTTTAAACAATGTTTAGTCATAAATTAACTCAAATTACAAACTTTATAAATTGATAGAAATTTAAGAACAAAAACAAAAACCTTCACAAAGAACTAAGGATTTCAAACAAATTTTACACAACTTTTTAAAGCCGAATTTTTCGAACTTAACTAAATATATTCCTCTTCTACTTTATAAATTTTACACAATTTTTAAAATTTTTTAAAATATCAAAAGTTTTTGTGATTTTTATAAAAATTTAATTATTCGTACTTGCAAATTATTAGTTAAAAGTGAGATTTTAAAAAATTTGTGTCGCAATTTGTTAGTTTTTCTAAATTTTGCTGCATTTTTCCGTGATATTTGAAAATTCGAACTTAATTTCGAAATTTTCGAACTTGGAAAATAATGCTAAAATGAGATTTTTATTTAAGTTAGAGTTAAAATTAGTTTGAATTTTTGAATTTTCTGCAATATTAGCGATGTTCGAAAATTCGAACTTAATTTCGAAATATTCGAACTTCAAAAATATGGCTAAAAAGTGATTTTTATTTATGTTAGAATTGAAATTTGTTTGAATTTTTTAATTTTCTTCAATTTTAGTGATGTTCGAAAATTCGAACTTAATTTCGAAAATTTTCGAACATTAAAATTTTCCTAAAAATTTATTTTTATTTCAATTTGCAATGAAATTTGTTTGAATTTTACAATTTTCTGCAATTTTAGTGATGTTCGAAAATTCGAATTTAATTTCGAAATTTTCCATCTTCAAAAATATGGCTAAAAAAGTGATTTTTATTTCATTTAGAGTTGAAATTTATTAGAATTTTGCAATTTTCTGCATTTTTAGCGTTGTTTGAAAATTCGAACTTAATTTCGAAATTTTCAAACTTCGAAAATATGGCTAAAAAGTGATTTTTATTTAAATTTGCAATGAAATTTATTTGAATTTTATAATTTTCTGCAATTTTAGTGATGTTCGAAAATTGGAACTTAATTTCGAAATTTTCGATCTTCAAAATTATGGCTAAAAAGTGATTTTTATTTCATTTACATATAGTTGAAATTTATTAGAATTTTGCAATTTTCTGCATTTTTAGTGTTGTTCGAAAATTCGAACTTAATTTCGAAATTTTCAAACTTCGAAAATATGGCTACAATTTGATTTTTATTTAAGTTAAAGTTGGAATTTATTTGAATTTTGTATTTTTTTGCAATTTTAATGATGTTCGAAAATTCAAACTTAATTTCGAAAATTATCGAAATATTGCTAAAAAGTGATTTCTATTAAATTTTACGCAGAATTTTGTTTGAATTTTTAAATTTTTCCACAATTTTGTGCATTTTTAGCGATTTTTGAAAATTCGAACTTAATTTCGAAATTTTCGAACTTCGTAAAATTTTGCTGAAAAGTGATTTTTATTTATTTTTTCACAAAAATTTGATGAAATTTTATATTTTTTCACAATTTTGTGCATTTTTAGTGATGTTCGAAAATTCGAAATTAATTTCCAAATTTTCGAACATTTCGAAAATCAGTTTTTCTTTCGGAATTACTTCAAAATTTTATAAAATTTAAGGATTTTATAGAGATTTTAAAAAGTTTTCTTAAAATTTATTCATGTTCACGAGATTTTAGTTCGTTTTCTTAAAAATATTTTAAAAAAAGTTTTAAAATTGTGTTAATATCTTTGTAATCAATTGATTTATAATTAAAACAAAACAATGATAAGGAAATAACAAATAAATGTTAATAATAGCAGGAATTGTTTTTTCATTTCGAGCATAACAGAAAGTATAATGACCCATTTTAATAGTGTATGTAGACTCACGTAGAACGCAAAAATAGATGATTAAATACAAACTACAACGCCATTGCATTGATAAGACAAAAATATGAAACAAAACAATAATAATAAACTTATAAACAATTTAAATGCGAAATGAAATCTAAATGAATTTGCCATAAAACTATAGTTGATTCTAACAGTCTGCATGTAAATTTTAACAATATTTCTTGATACCCTTGAAATATTGAAATTATATGCTTTTTTTTTTAAAAAAGAGCGATAAAAGCAAATAAGAATTTCATAGTTTGCATTAATATGAACATTAAAAGTTCTCAAATTTCATGCGTTTTTAAAGCATGATAAAGGAATTTAAAACTTTCCAAGATAACAGATTCATACAGACTTTGTGTTTTTAAAACTTCTGTTTTACAAAGTATAAACGCATGGATAATTATAATGATAAAAAAATTCATTTAATAATTTTATGAAAATTCCAGCCAGACTTGAAGCTTATCAACTTTGTGCTCAAACAATAACAGCACAGCTAAAGGCATTATCATTATGGTACATTGTACCAAGCAATAAACTTTCCAATCTGCTGTTTTAAGTCACATTTCGCAGCTCACATTGTCATGACATGTGATGATGATGGCTGTTTATTAACCCAGATTTCAAACACGTCATCAAAAGAAAAGGAATAGATTGATAAGTTTGAATGAATTTTGAACAATTTGTTAAGGAATAAGCAATGATTGAATGAATATTCTATTAATTTTGAATATTTCCTTTTAAATTTTCAGAAATTCCAGGATAACTTATACATTTTTTGGAAATTAAAAGATTTTCATTAAAATTTTCACATTCGAACTTTAACATTTAACTTAAAAGTGAGTTTTCAATGACTAATTTCTTTGTATTTTTAAATTTGCGGCATTTTTCCATGATATTTGAAAATTGGAACTTAATTTCGAATTTTTCGGACTTAGCTAAAATCACTAATTTCCTCTTCTACTTTATAAATTACAATAGAAAATCTAAATTTTTGTTACTTTTTCTTTAAATTTTAGAAAAATTTTCGAATTTTTAAGATTTTTTCGAAATTTTACATTTTCGAACATTGAAAATTTTGTTAAATTTTAAGATTTAACTTTATATAAGTGTAAATTTTGCTTAAGTTTAAAATTTTGAGCAATTTTGGCAATGTTCGAGCTTTTCGAACTTAATTTCGAATTTTTCGAACATAGAAAATATGGCCAAAGAGTTATTTTTATTAAAATTTGAGGTAAAATCTGTTTAAATATTAATATTTTTCTATGAATTTTTGAATTTTCTGCAATTTTAGCAACATTCGAAAATTCGAACTTAATTTCGAAATTTTCGAACTTCGTATTTAATGCTAAAATGTGATTTTTATTTGTATTTGCAATGAAATTTGTTTAAATTTTACAATTTTCTGCAATTTTAGCAATGTTCGAAAATTCGAAATCAATTTCGAAATTTTCTAACTTCGTAATTAATGCTAAAATGTGATTTTTATTTGTATTTGCAATGAAATTTGTTTGAATTTTACAATTCAATTTCAATTCGAACTTAATTTCGAAATTTTCGAACTTCGCAATTAATGCTAAAATGTGATTTTTATTAGTATTTGCAATGAAATTTGTTTGAATTTTAAAATTTTTGTTAATTCTAGTGATGTCCGAAAATTCGAACTTAATTTCAAAATTTTCGAACTTGGAAAATTTAGCTAAAAAGTGATTTTTAATTAAATTTGCGAAGAAATTTGTTTGAATTTTACAATTTTCTGCAATTTTAGCAATGTTGGAAAATTCGAACTTAATTTCGAAATTTTCGAACTTCGTAATTAATGCTAAAATGTGATTTTTATTAGTATTTGCAATGAAATTTGTTTGAATTTTAAAATTTTTGTTAATTCTAGTGATGTTCGAAAATTCGAACTTAATTTCAAAATTTTCGAACTTGGAAAATTTTGCTAAAAAGTGATTTTTAATTAAATTTGCGAAGAAATTTGTTTGAATTTTGCAATTTTCTGCAATTTTAGCAATGTTCGAAAATTCGAACTTAATTTCGAACTTGGAAAATATAGCTAAAATTAGATTTTTATTTAAAATCAAGTTGAAATTTATGTTTATGTTTCAATTTTGTGCTTTTTTAAAGATGTTCGAAAATTCGAACTTAATTTCGAATACATATTTCGAAAATCAGAAAATATTGCTAAAAAGTGCTTTTTAATTAAATTCAAGATGAAATTTGTATTTATATTTCAATTTTGTGCATTTTTAATGATTTTCGAAAATTCAAAATTAATTTCGAAATTTTCGAACATTGACAAAATCATACATTTTTAACTCTCCTATTAAATTACAGAAAAATTGTAAAATTTCATGATATTTTTGATCAATTTAGATATTCAAACACTGAAAGTTTTATTTAAATTTCAAAATTTCCCATTAAAAACCGTTTCCTTTCGAATCGAATTACGGGTTTAACCCCTCAGTCCAATATCGCATTTCAATTTAAATATTGCAAAAATATCATGTTATTAAACCTGTTATGAGTAATTGTCTTATTCAAATAGTATTTTGTTTAAGCATTTATAGAAGGTGATTAAACCCCCCAAAGTTCCAGTTATTATTTGTTTATTTGCTGTTTATTTTAATATTTTTATTTGCTTTTGTATCGATTTTTATAAATGACATACTTTACTTTTCTTAATATCTCATTTTTGGTTAGGGTTTCAATTTAACATATAATGGTTTATTATAAAATTCTTAACAAATTGTTTAAATGTAATTATTCAACTCCCTAAACAATAAAAATTTTATTACATTTTTGAAAAAAAAAACAACTTTGTTGCTCTTCTTACATTTTACATTTTTACAAATTCGTTTTTAAAACTTTTGATAAACACTGT